GTACCTAATAAAGTGGCCAGTGAGTGTAGAAGATAATACTATTAATATGTGACTTTTTTAATCATTATACATAGTCATTTTATACAGGGTTTCCACAGTCTTACATTATTTCAGAATTCCCTGACTTTTAACTGACTCAGGATTAGTTTTCCCTGACAAAATAAATGCAGCAACAAGACAATAATAATAACACAACAGGTAACCAATTTAACATGTTTAGCTCTATAACATTTAAATGCACCTATCCAATGTCTAAGAGAAAAAACTTTAATAAACATTTTTTAATGTATGACCTGCATCACTGTACAGAAGACTGCCGTATGATAGCGCTTTCTAGCTCGTTTGTCGTTTTGTTAACTACATCAAAATTACCGCTAGGTGGACAAAAATCACGCCATCTGGCGGAAAATCACCTGGCTTTTTCAAATCACACACCTTTTTCAAATCAATCATTCAACAAAAATGGCGCCGGCAACGGCTTGTGGTCGTTTTCAGCGATGTCGGTGATTTTAAAGTAATTTTGAGTGATAAAGAATATTTTTTTGCTTTCATTGCACTTGCCCGGCGGGCAAATGCAATGAAATTTGTACTCTCCCGACAATAAAAACTACTTGCCCCAGGAGATCGGGCAATGGTTAACATCAAGCCCTGCCATACTATTTGGCCCTATTAAGTGGACATGTTGAAACAGGTGTTTTATATGATGAATAAATAGAGAACCCTTTAAAGCCTGGACCATATAGTAATTGACAGAAATTTGACCACAGCCTCCTATAGGTCCATCAGGGCCAAAACATCACGCCACAAGAACATTTTCTTCCCATCCGCTACCAGCCTTAACAACAAGGCCCAGAGACCCCCGTGACACTGCGTATCCCTCCCCCCTTTCAGGACAGAGAAGCTACTGGTATCTTTTATATTGTATATAACTATAGATTCTGTATTCCGTATGTATATCGAATTTCCTTGCACCATCAACACCAAGTCCAATTCCTTGTAAGTGCAAATCTACTTGGCAATAAACTAGATTCTGATTTTCATTTTTTAAAATAGTTGTCATTGCACTTTCTGACAAATGAAATGAAAAAGCAAACATTTTGTATAAGTTAAATAAGATCATTTATTTGCATCAATTTTGATAGATTAGTCATTTTGTATAATCTTTCACGTGTTTTCTGTTCGATACATGTGACTGTTTGTGTGACTCAGGGTTTTCAAGAACAAAAATATCACACTGATGATGCAGAGGTCTCAAAAACTTGTGTGGCTTTTCAAATCTGGAACAAAACCCAATTAAGTTTTGTTTGAAATCATCCCTAAATCAAACTAATAGCAAATGGAACAAAGCAGAAAAAGCCACCAGGACTTGTTCCTGGTTTTTATGTAATTCTCTACTCCAGTTGTCTTGGAAATGCTTGATAAAAGAAAATAAAAGGCAGTTTTCCACCATGCTTTGCCATAAGGATGGCATAATCAGGTTTTCTATGTAGGACTTCCACCACATATCTTACCTCATGATGCAAGAATCTTAATTAGAAATGATTTCCCAGACTTGACAACTCTGTGTTCTTGTGCATTTGTTCACTAATTTAATTGTAAAATACGTTAAATTTAAACCAACTCATTTGAGGCACTAATTTTTCAGATTTCTGTTAAAGATCAGTTACCAAATATCACCACATTTGAGGTTTTACTTTAAAAAATTCCAATGAAAAAAGCTTGATTGTGTGTAACAATGTAAAATTATCACCAATGTTTTTGCAAGGCATGAAGACAAAGGAATGTCTACTATGATTAGCATTGATTCTGAGGATACAAATGTTGTAATTATAATTACTGGCTGCTCTCATTATTCATCTTTATAGACAAATACTTTTCTTTCTCTTCTAGTTCAGAAAGTGTTGGAGGACCACATCCTGAAACTCTACAAGCCACAGACGTGACATTAGCAAAGAAAGAAATATCTCTCAGATCCATGCGACATTTTCAGACACCGGCAAAAACATGAGACGCAAGAAAAGAATCAAAGACGGATCCATTTACTTCCATTTTTTTTTTTTTTTTTTTTACAAATTATAGTTTATGTAAAAATATTCAGAAAACAAATTGAATTGTGTTGTAAATTTATTTGAACTTAAAAAAAGCTTTCTTTCTACAAGTTTTAATAAAATGTTATTTTTTGATGGGTTGAGTGTTTAATTCAAAAGGCATGATAAACCGCTCTACACAAAGCCATCCATTCACATCAAGTATAAATGTCAATATTTCCAATGTGTGCATATTTCCTTGTGTTGCTGATGTAAATTTAAGCTTCTGAACACGTCTGGAAACAGCCATACCAAAAAAGGCCACCACTGCATCAGTTCACAAGGTGGCACCACAGCTGACATGTTTTCCAAGTGTCACCACACCAGCCTGCGCTTTGGTCGAGGGTCATTTCCTCTCTCATGAGAGCATTAAAAAAAACCTGGTTATGAGGTTTTCTCCCCCAAAATGTCCAAGGAATAAACAATGATTCTCCCAAAAAAGTCGGTGCTGTTCTCAAACAGTATTTTTACTTTTTCCACGGTGGGGGCCTCCTGTATGGGAAAGCTGTGGGTGTGGAGTTAAGAACAACATTAGGTTGGCAATAATGAGCAGCGTGTTCATAAAAATATTGACCTAGGTCTATTATGAGCCATTAGGATGCATGTTGTTTATCTTTATGCTTAACTTTCTGTCATTCAATTAAATATGCAAAACTTTAAATTAAACAATTCTACATAGAACAAATCAGAAATGTCATTCAAAAAGTGAAACTTCTACAGAGTCACCAGACAGTGACATTTTATTATGATGCCGACTTCATTTTCAGGAGGATATTAATCAACATGGTAACAGCCATGTTGGTCAGAAAACTATCCCGCTGTAATCCTCACAAAGAATTTAGAGTATTGTCAAGAAACATCAGAGTAGTTCTGAAGCAATTGGATTAATTTGCAATTAAGGAAATAATTGTCAACTAATTCAGTAATCAATTAATGGTCAACTGGAGTATAGAGACTGTAAAACGTACCTTTAGCTGAGAGCAACCCACTTAGAGCAGTAATAATAATAATAATATATATATATTTAATAGGGGTGGAACGGTTCACAAAATCCACGGTTCGGTTCACGATTCCTTGGTCACGGTTTGCGGTTCCGTATGTTGATTGTTAGCCTGACATGTTGGTCGTGTTGCTGTTAGCATAAACAAAACGTGTTGCACAATGCTTGCACACTGTTGCACTTTTATCCACACCTTTCTTTCCGCCGTCATCGTAGGTCACTCTAAATGCAAAGTGGTCCCATACAGCAGACCTATAAAGTGCTGCTGGCGTGTCTTCCAACTCCTGTTCTTTCCCACGCGCCATACCCACACAATTCTCCACAACAACTGATTTTTTTCTGCTACACCCAGCTACGCTGCTTCGCTTCTTCTTGTTTACTACTGGTGGTTGGCTTTGGTCGCAGTACCGCCACCTTCTGCTCTGGAGTGTAAACGCTTCGCATATGAGAAAAAGGAGCAGCGCATGAACCGAACGCAACACACGCAAACCGAACCGAGACAGTCGAACCGAACGGTTCTGATGGTTTTCATAAACCGTTCCATCCCTAATATTTAAACATTTTGCCTTTCTAGTACAATTCTTTTTCATCTGTCAATCTGCTCTATCCAGAACAGTAAAAAGTTTAGATTTTCACATGGATTCATTTTTAAAAAGGCTTCTTTGAGGAACTTTTTGTTCAGTGATGGCGAGATGAAGCTTCATAAAGCGCTGAAGCCTTTTATCAAGTTGGTTCACTCACGTGCCGAAGCTTCAAGCTCTATTTTTCCACCTATTGGAAAATAAATGTAAGCCGTGCAGTAATTATAAATATGCTATGGCTTTGGTGTCTGAAGCAGTAAATGAATTCATCAATGATGTTTGTGATGCTTAAACATAAATTATAAACTTTTATATGGTGTCTGTCTTTATGAAACAATGACACAGTCAGACTTTTCCACAATTTTTGGTTTTAATCGGATGGGAATTTATGTGTCCAACCAATCTTGTTTAAACTAACCAATGTAACTTAGTAGTGTTTTTACCCAATCTAAGTTGGTAAAAAGACAAACCAATACAAATTTGTCACTTTGGCCAATACTGGTTAAGTAGTATAACAACTTTGAAAAGCCAATACTGGGTCTCGAACCAGCAATCCTTTTTTTGTCCTACAGCCAATGCCAATGTAATTTCTCATATCTTAATACTACAATGATAATAATACAACCGAAACCAGTGCCTGGGTCATTTTCAATCTATTCTTAGAATATATTCAAACTCTATCCAACTGACCACAACTATTTAAATGCCTGCCGAAGTCTGACTATCTGAACCACTTCCTGCAGCGGTTACATGGAATGGCGGCAGCGAGGCTTCAGGCGTCATCGACACAAGCCTTGAAGCCTCATCTCATAACATCAAAACTTTTGTTATCCGATTATTTATCCATAAAAATTGACAGATTAATCCATTTGCAAACTAATTGTTAGTCGCAGTTTTACATCAGAGCTATCAGTGCAGACAGGCTGAATGCAACGCTTCATTGATGCTTCAACTAAACTCTCTCCATTTAAACTGTATTAAGTATAATTTCATGATAAAATATTTAGCACAATTACTGAGTGTATTGCATTTTTATAACAGGAGAGTGTCACCTTATGAATTTTTTCATAATATTTTAATGCAAATCTGTCTTCGAAACATGCCATGACTCCATGACTGGTAGTCGGCATATAAATGTTTAGGGAGGATATCTGAAGGCAGTTGTTGTCCTCTGGGTAAAACTGGCTCAGCCTGACGAAGTCTCCGTCTTTGAGGCAACCTGCATGAAAGCACAAACATAAAAATAGTTTGCATTAACTTGTCACGCTTGCTACAGGAAACTCTAAAGTTAGATTGTTAAACGCTTCTTCAAAGAAACCGCAGGTTATGAGATCGTTAGCTTTTACCTTCTAATCTGCATGTCTTTGCTGAGAAGCCTCCCTGGAATTGCAGTTTTACTTCTGAGACCTTAACAGGTTGGGGAAAGTCCAGCAGCACCCACTGACTGTCTCCCTGACAAAGACATGCTCACCGATTAAGATGCACTGTGACCCGAACACAACTTTAAAACATCTTAAAAAATTTTTAATTAGGTGCATGTCCAGAAAAAAAAAAAATCTAAACAAACATGCTTATTTAAGCTTCAAGCGATTATTTATTGAACAAAACAAATATATAAAACACTTTGATGCTTTAGGTTCTCAAAGTAAAAAAGGACATTTATATGCAGCCTGCTCGGCAATGCAACTAACAGCCATTTAGCTACTCAATTATTTTATTAACAATTGGATAGAAAAGGTTTCCTTAAAGAAGATATTTTACTGAATTTAAACAAAAAATATTAACTAAATATCTAATTATTTTCCACTGGAGGAATTCTGGGTAGAGAATATTGACAGACGAAAAAGTGTTATCATCATAAATGCAAAATGTTTAAATATATATACATATTTTTTTTCTTTCTTAGAACCTTGGTACAATAACTGGTGAAATCTGGTCGCTCTGTAAACTAAAGGCACGTTTTAGGGTCTCTATACTCCATAATCGATTAATCTGATTAATTGTTTTAGTCTTACTACAATAAATTCATATGTGACATTATTTCACTTTCTGCAACATGTTTAATTAAATATGTGAAAATGTTTTAAAAAAAAAAAAAAAAGGTTTTCTTCAATAAGCTCTACTGCAGTTGACATTTCTGCACTAAACCCTTATATTAGAAACTGCAATCTTTGTCAATAAGTTTCCTAAATACCTGGATGCTGCATAATATTGTGCAAAGTGCACTAAACTTTAACAAGTTTTAACTGGATATAACCCAACTGTTGACGATCATTTTACTTATAGAAAAAACAAAGAGTCAGTAATAAAAAAAGTTCTGCCCTAAATCTTATCTAAACATCACTAACACTCCAAAAATTATGTTGAAGAGAAATTGCAAGATTGCGACGTTGACTTATATAACAAGCAGGATCTGAGCTGAAATATCGGGCATTTTGAACAAATTTGGCTGTTTCTGCACAATAAAATGGAAAAGGAAAGTCTGCAGCTGTCTGTTTTAACAGTGCATAAACTTATGAATAGTTTCTCACTGCAATATTACTGCAATTAGAACTGAAATCGTTGTTTTCCTATTACCACCAGCTAACTTTCTTCATGCTTCGATATAAACTGCCTCAACTAACAGGTTTTAATATGTAAGACAGCTGGAGGGTCGCATTGATTTTATGATAACTGATAGAGTCGTCACAATATCTACAATAACAGCTATGAATGTTATGGCTTCCTACCATTATGCAGCCTTAAAGGTCCATTTTTTCTATACTGGACTATAATTCACCTATTACATATGTTTTATATATGAAAGAGAAACTGACCTAGAAAATGTAATCCATACCACAGATGATGAGAAACGAAGATATCTAAAAATAAAATTTTTGGCCCATAATTCCACACAAAAAACTTGTTTTAAGAGCTCTTGTTCTAAGAGCCTGGCTGTGTGTTTCCTGGACGGGCCGCCTTTTACAGCTGCTTTTTGTATCTCTGCTTCTGTCTCCTTGAACCCCAGTCGGCCTCAGCAGATGGCCGCTCACACTAAGCCTGGTTCTGCTGGAGGTTTCTTCCTGTTAAAAAGGAGTTTTTCCTCTCCACTGTCGCTACAAGAATGCTTAGTGTGAGGGATTGTATTTGAGTCAATGAGTCAATGCAATCAACTGCTTTTCCTTAGATAGAAAACTTTGTATCAATTTGACTGGATGATCTGGTTAAAACGGTAAAGTGCAGTGTGTGTGCTATATAAATAAACTGAATTGAATTGTTTAAAAGTGTTAGCTTGGGTTATGATATAAATAAAAATAATTTATATATATATAAAGGAAGGAGGAATGTTTTTGGGTTAAAGCCAGTATTTATTTCTAATGTTTTAAAAAAAAAACCTTATCTGGAAAAAATAAATGATATTTAGTTTTAACTGCAAACTAATAGACCTACAAAATTAAAGTTAGTGATGAGATATTTTTAAGTATGTTTGCAGATTAATTTTTAAATATATACTTAAAATGTTAAAAATTAGAATCATTTTCTGTAGAAAAAAATAAAAATAAAGTTCAAAGCTCTCTGACTTGTGCTGAATCCCCTTTTCTGAAATTAAAACCACGTTTTTTGTAAGGTTAAAACAGACAAACATAATGAAAAAACAACAGAGTTCTCCTTTTTCTTACCTGGTCAGAGTTCCAGCAGGTTTCTTCATTACAGTCAAACATAAACTTTTTCCCAAACTGCTTTATGTCTCTGTTCAGGACTGAACTCACCCTAAAAGGACAATAAGGCGTTACTGGGGATCCGTGAAACGTTTAAACTTTAGCTGAACTGAGGAAAAACTGCTGGTAAAACAAACTGTTTCTAAATGAACGTGAAAACAATTGTATTTACCTGCTCTGGGTTTCACTACAAATCAACGAAGAAGCCATGTTCAAGTTTGAATGATCATTTGCCGTCAAACGTTATGGCCACGCGGAGCTATTTTTACGACAGTGACATTTATGCACATTTTCTTCTAGCCACTAGATGGAGCTCTTGATCCATGTTAATATTAAAGTGATTTATAATACCTTCATATGTGACGGTACAATTAAAATAAAATCAGTCTATTTTAATCGACCCCCTTAAATAACACGTCGTATAAAACGTGTTTCTTATGCTGGTGGTCTTTTTATTCCCCATCATGTCCCTGCTGTGATCACTAGTGATGAAAGGTCACAGATATAACAATCCTTTAGAAGAGAAGACTACAGTCAGGGAAGTTGAATCAATCAGATTCAAATGACAAAAAGGGTTAATAAAGAACACATTTAGAGAGGAAGTTCATATCTTTTTTTTGCTGTTTCCCAAATAACTGCATAAGTAAAAAAAAAAAAGAAAGAAAAAAAAGAAGAAGAAAGCACTGAAGATTACTGCTTCTAAAAATGTGCAAATCATACACATGTGTAATTCACAATCTGCGAAATATTAACACGGAAGAGCAAGTGTGCGTGAGAGAGCGTATGTGTGTATTTCTGAAGATGTCAGCCTACACAGCCACATGGCTGATGGAGGAGTTGCACAGAGATGCAAATAATCAGTAGGTCTAAAATACAAAACCTGATGGCACCCAGCCTTCTTAAAGATTGTCCATAAGGGCGCTCTGAAGGGTGATGGTAATGTCAGCTTTGGTTCAGGCCCCACCCTCTTATTCAGAAACCCCTTGGAGACACACAATCACACAATCATCCTTAGCTTATCTGCAGCCAATGTCACATTGAGATCTAACAGGAAATGCTTGCCCGCAATTTCTGATTAGGTGGATGGAAAAGGACATTTAAAGAACTGCTGGCTGGTAAATGTATTTCAAGCTCAAGGTTTATTTAGGGATACACGCCTGACTGGGTTGGCTGACTTGTAAATGTCTTTGGGTGTATTTAAAGCTGTTAATCAGTTGTGATATCTCAACAATTAACTTACCAGGTGCTCATTAGCATGGATGACAATTATAATGTCCTGAACCAAAGTCATGTGGGATGCCCACCTGGCTAACAGTCCCATGAGGGCCTGTAATGAGTGAGTGATGAGATGCTCCTTTGACTCATAAAATAGTGCCCATGTGGGATGCTAATGATGCCAAGGCAAGCTGCTATTTGGCCATTTTTTCTGTTCTTTTCTCCTGTGTCTTTAACAAGAATTGATCGCACCAGAAATGTAAGGTATCCTAAGGTGGTAAGCTTACAAAAGACAACTTTGTTTTCCCAAGTCTATATCTCTACTTTAAAGTGGATAGGTACTAATTGGACCAATCCATCCACATGGGTCCCCAGTTATTACACAGAGTTTCTCCTGCATCCAACCTTAATACTACAGGATCCTAACTATCCTTATGTGAAATATCCCACCTTTTCATCAAAAAAGTCAGTCACTACTGTTGACTGAGCTGTAATAAGTTGCATTGTTATTGTATAAAATATGCATTAAACAATTTAAAAAAATAAAATTTGCATCACCTCCTTCTTCCAGTTCATGTTTGAATAATTAATTACTATACATTTAACAAAGGTTTATAAAAAAGAGTAGAAATATTTGAACTCTGTTTTTTTTTTTCTTTTTAATAAAGTTCTAAGCCAAAGATTATTTAAAAAAATGTGCTGCACAGTGAGTCAGTGGGTAGCACTGCTGCCTTGCAGCACAAAGGTTCCTGGTTTGTTTCCCAACCTGGAGTCTTTCTGCATGCGGTTTCCATGTTATCCCTGTGCATGTTCTGGTTCTCTCCGGGTACTCAGGCTTCCTCCCAAAGTCCAAAAACATGCCTTTAAGGCAAATTGGCTTCCCTGAATTCTCCTTAGGTGTACGTGTGTGTGTGTGCTCATGACTGTGTGTCTTTGTGTGTCTCTGTGTTGCCCTGCGGCAGACTGGCGACCTGTCAAGGGTGTACACTACCTTTCACCCATAGACAGCTGGAGATAGGCACTGGGCCCACCACAACCCTGACAAGGACTAAGGGGGAGAATATGGATGATTAAAAATTATTTATAGTACTTCTTACATAGGTTTCACACAGTGTTGCAAAAGTAGTTAAAAACAGAACTGAATAAAATAAGTCATGCATCTTGCATATTACTTTAATAGAATTCTTTCTTATCCTACTCTGCTAACAAGAAACAGTTGTATTAAAGCAAGTAAATATGCTTACATAGCTGAAAAAGACGCATGAATAAATATTTTCAGGGGAAGAAAAGTAATAAAAAGTTTCCTCCAGCCTCCGTCTGAGAGTCAGATTCATTTCCAGATGACGCTCTAAACAGCTGGATCTACCTCCTCCAAACTCCTCACAACATATTCTTTATCCAGAATAATTCATCATTGCACCATGTTCCCACGTTGTTTACATTTGATCACTTTATAGAATCGAAATGTTAATTTGTCCAAAAAGCTGTAGTAAATGAGATTTCATTTTGTATACACTCTGTGCATAGAAGATGACACTAAAAGTAGTGAAAGTCTAAGTCTAAGGAGACACACTATAATTTTAATTTAAAAAATAACTATGCTTCATCGAAAACACATGAACAATGAGGAAAGCAATTTTTTTTGCCACAAGTTAGTGTTGTGGTTCCAGTTTGTGGGGTTAGTCTGTGTTCTTTTCAGTTTCACCATTCGTCCACCAGATGGTGCATTGGGCAACTTCTGTCTTGGAGGGTTTGCCTACACGTCTCAATTACCCACACCTGCAGTAAATCTCTCATCACCTCAGAGGAGTATATGAGCAGCTGACTGTCATCACCTCTTTGCCAGAGTGTTTGCCTGTTTTGGGTACTCTCGCCCTTCTGAGCTTTGCTGAGTGAATCTTTCAACTTACTAGTGAATTCATGCTCTTACCCTTTGTTTTTGTGAATCTTTGGCAGCCCTGAAAGAAAACCTCTCGAGACGCTGAGAGGTCCACTGCTCACCTCTTCAGAACTTCAGCACTTCAAGATCTCCAGCTGACAGTCTGCTCCGCTGCTCCTCTGTACAACCATAACTTACCTGTCCGCACTCCAACGACTTGTCCACCTTCAACCAGCCAAGGCCTCCACAAACTGGAACCTCAGTCCACCCTCCAACTCAAGCAGAGATAGTTCAAGTAAGATCAGAGCACCAGTCAACTGTATTTTTTCCCCACCAACTTTGAATCTACCTAATCTCTCTCTCTCCTTGGTGCAGTCGAACCTGGATTCCTGGCCACAGGACCCCCCAAGCAGAGAACCCTTTTTCTATCTCTTTGTTTAAGAAAAGGAAAATAAACTTTCCAATTTTGACAATCTCTCTGTGAGTGTTTCTGCATGTGGGCAAAAAGTATTAGCCCCATTATGACAGTTAGAGATTCACACTTTCCAGAATTTCCTTGATGTGGTGTCTTCAGCTTTAGTCCATTCTTCTGTAGCCTTTCCCAATTTTGCTTAGATGCTGTTATGATTCCTGTTGCTGGTGCACTTTTTTCTTACCACCCTTTTTTTTTTTTTCCTCTTGCTCTAAGCTCTTTTAAAATAAAAAAATCCAACAATTTTCTGAGACAATAAAATGTTTGGGCTTGCAATATCTGTAAGCCACAATCACTCAAATTACATGAAACTGAAAATGTTTCTCAGTGTCATATGAATCTACACAATATACAATGTGTAGCAAGAAATGTAATGTGTAATTTCTTATGATATTCTCTTTTTTTTTTTTTTAGCTCTACTTCGAAGTAATCAAAAGTGTAGTCCATTATTTGGGACCCTTTAAAAAGCCTAAATCTTTATATTTCACAAACTGTCTCAATTTAGTCTGACAAGAAGCCCCGGGGTGGTGGTAAATCATTTAGTTCAGGAAGAAAAAAATTTGGTCTACTTGGAGGCTAACTAACTATAATAAAGCAGGAAATGGGGAGAAACGTAAGACACAGCTGTCAGAAACTACAGCAATTAGCAGGATCTTAGGTTTGGATGCTGCAGTCTGGCAGAGCTCTTCCTTCATTTCCATGTTGGAAATTTATGCTCCAGATTTAACGAGGTTTGCTAATTTATTTATAAAAACATTTGCTCAATATGTTCTTCTGCCTTTATTACTGAGTAGAATCATGTGTGAAAAAGAAATAAAGTGTTGCTTTTAATCTGATTTGTTTGACATGTTAATGAGTTGGTTCACTTTTTTAATTTTAAAGCTGATTTCAAAAGATTTAGACAAAAACAGGAAATATCAACAGAACACAAATTTAAAACACACATGGGTATGTCAAGATTTTCACCAAACACAAATAATATAAAGATTTAAGAGATAATTCCGGTTGTGGAGGACCCAGTTGCAGGCAAAGAGAGGCAGAGTGGAGCAAATATAAAGATGTTAAGTAATACAAAAATAAACATACAAAAAACGAAGTTTAAGCTCAAATTAACAAAAAAGTTATTGTTTTTAAATCCCCAGTCAATCCCAGAGAAGATAATAAGGGCAAACATCAGCAGTTTGGAGCAGGATTGAGAAGAGGAACCAGCAAAGGTGAATGAGAACCAGTGAGCTTAAACTGAAGGAGGAGTAGAGAATGACATTAGGACTTCTGAGATGCAGCCAAATTCCCAAAAGCATCATTAAATAAAGACAGATTTACACCATGGCACAGCCACTTTAGAGGAGTCAATGTAGTATTTATTTATAGCTAGTGTTAGATTTTTAGAGCTAATTATACTCATATTAGTGTCGAAATGTAAAAAAAAGAAAAAAAAAGAAAATGTTAATACCTTAATTGTCTCACAATGGGGAAATTCACTCTCTGCATTTAACCCATCCCCTTGGGGAGCAGTGAGCTGCCATTGTGTGGCGCCCAGGGAGCAGTGTGGGATTAAGGGTCTTGCTCAGTGCCCTGGAATGCCGGCTGTGGGGGTCGAACCGGGTACTTGCAACCTTCTCAGAGCACAAGCACACTGATCAAACCACTAGGTCAACACTCAA